CCTGCTTCTTCCACAGCCGTGGCTTCCATCTCCTCTATTGTTCAGCTTCCTTCTCCACAACCTTCCTTAAATCACAACCTTCTCTCCTCCTTCCCCCCCATCTTCACCCTCCCCTTCCACACCTTCCCACGCACACTCAAGTCTCAGGTCCCAGGGCAGTTTGCAGGGAACTGGGGGGAATGGTCGCAAGGGAAGGAGGGGAGGGCACCTCTGCGGAGCCCGGCGTGTTCTGTTCCCTCCAGGTTGTGTCCCTGCGCTGGGAAGCCGGGGGGAGCTCAGGATTTGGGGGGGAGCACGAAGATGCGGGAGGTGGAGGGACCAAATGCGCAGGAGATGGGGGGGAGGGGGAAAACCCGCACCCACAGCCCCCCCCGCCCCATCCCAGCGAGGGGCTTGCTCTGGCCGCTCCTGCCCTGTCGGTGTTTGCTCTTTTAACAGCTAAAGTGTCGGAGTACGGACTGCTGGGCCAGCCCAACACCATCCGCACCAACTTCACCACCAAGCAGCTGACGGAGCTGGAGAAGGAGTTTCACTTTAACAAGTACCTCACCCGGGCCCGAAGGGTGGAGATCGCCGCTACCCTGGAGCTCAACGAAACCCAGGTCAAGATCTGGTTCCAGAACAGGCGGATGAAGCAGAAGAAGAGGGAAAAGGAAGGTCTCGCCCCGGCTGCTGCTTCCAGGTCGGCCAAGGAAGCGAGTGAAGCCTCGGATCAGTCCAACTGCACCTCACCTGAGGCCTCTCCCAGCTCCGTGTCTTCCTGAAATATGTCCCCGCAGGGGTGCGGGGACCAGACGGGGCTGCCTTCGGGGTCCCTGCCAACAGACACACCCGCACCTCACACCACGGCCCCGTCTGCACACACGCGTGGGAGCAAGGCCACGCTTCCCTGCGAGCCGTCCCTGTGGCTCCACACGTGTGACACCAGCTCTCCCGCTCGCATTTCTCTCTCTTAATTTATAGACCCTTTGTAAGACACTGGACTCCAAAGGAGCAGCCGTGTCCTCGTGCATCCTTAGCAATAGGCGCTTGTCTCAGGGACGTTCCTCCCTCTTCCTTCTCCACCCCCTATAGGAACTGCACTTTCAACTCCAGAAACTTGAAAACGAATTTAGTTTCCTCCAGTTTTCAAAATGTGCACAACGACTTTTGCCTGCAAGAACCCGACGTTTGATGTATTTTTCCTCCCTGTGAGGTCGTAAAAAAAAAAAAAAAGCTAGCTTTGCGTATTTTGTTTTGTTTCCCTTCTATTTACCGTTATACGTATCTCGGAGTGAAATCCGAGTAGCCCAAGATGCTAGAGGCTTCTGCAAAGACCTAGACACCGAGGAAAAAAAAAAAAGCAACTCCTGCTACCATTTTGCACTATTACTGCTTTACAGGGTTTTCTACATGCTCTGCGACTACGCCTGTTACCCATCCTGGGGGAGGGAGGATTGTGCTGGCGGAGAAAATGAGCCGAGGCTGACCCTGGGGTACTTTGGGCAATGGTCGCTGTCGCAGAGGTGTGAAGGTAGATGGGCACAAGGCTGCGGGGGGGCTGCGGGGCTTGGCTCCCCCTGCCACCGCTATTTATTGTACGTCTCCATAGCCTGAAGTCTTGGAGCGAAGTAGCACGATTCCTTGCACCCCCACCCTCTTAGGCTTATCGGAGTCGGATAAAAACGTTACTTAACCATGGCTAAATTTTTTCCCTTCCCCGTGAGAAACTTTAGGGTAGGACGGACTGAAAACCACGGCACCTTTTGTCAAAAAGGTCGTTTTAAAGGGAAAAAGCCACGTCATCGGGAAAAAACTAGCGGTTTCTTAATCGGAATCTCCTATTTCCCCTCCACTCCCTTCCCCGTGCTCTGTATCTCGAAAAGAAACTACCTCAGTCTAATAAAGTTTACTTTTTTCCACATGTAAGCCCTCTCGACTTTAAGCGAAATGGAAATCACTCCCGTTCGGGGAAATGTGCGACACGGGGAGGGGGGAGCCCGGGCTTAGAGAGAGGAGGAGGAGGAGGAGGAGGAAGGAAAGGTCTCTGGCTGCTGCCAAAGCTCCAAAACAAAACGCCCGATCCTGCTTCCTACGGGCACCCTCCGACATCCCCGCCTGGCATCGGCCGCCTTCGATTCGGGGACTTTTAAAGCAAATCGCCGAGCCAGGACCGGAGAAAAACGCGGCCCTTCCCACGTGGAGTTATGTCACAACACAACGAGGCCTGATGACAACAGAAAATCCTCCTCCTCCTCGGTGGCAGCATCCTGGCACGGAAGGAGATCTGCATTACCGGGGCAGCAACGTGAACTGGAACGGATTTGGGGTCGGGGTCGCAAAGCGAGTTTCTCACTTCTACCGAGCAGTTCTGTGAGGCTGATCCACCCCCAAACCAAAACGAAACGTCAATTTTGTTTCCTTCTTTCGGCTTGCCAAAGTGATCCGTGAAAAAAAAGGTGTTTTCCACAATAACAGTAACGCACCGCA